AGCAGTGATAATGCGACTGGCTTGATAGTTTTTGATTTCTTTGTTGTGAAGCGTTATTTGTTTACTCGGCATTGTTGTGTTCCACAACAATGCCGATTTTGTTTATAGTTGACATTGTTGATGACGTCATTTTTTGACGACAACGACTAATCACAAATTTTTATGGTAGAAAAAGAGAAGATAGAAGAAGAAGATATATAAGACGTGTATAAGTGTTGGATAATTGATGTTCAAGACAGTATTGTATTATTTTTCATATTACAAATGGACAGCTTCGTAGTTTGTCTATTATTGTCAGTTAATGTATGGAAAGAACATTTTTACATTATTTTGTACGTATTGTATTGAGAGGTACATATTTTTTTAGAACTTGTATGTTTTTGTGTTACATTGTGTAAACCATCTGTAATTGAAAATCTTATCTCTGTTGGGGGCAAATGAACTGATATTGCAGTTATTAATCATTTATCAAGGAATAGATTAGATTATAAAGTAATATTGACACGATGGCGGTGTCTGTTTCTCATTCGGCTTGTGTACCTGATTTTGATGTATTTGTATGTTTGTTTATGAGTTTATCGTATCAACGACCATTGTTAACTGCTACCAGTTGTGCGTCAGTGGAAAGTAAAAATAAGTAAACTAAAATGAATTCGTCACGAATGTGTGTTTACGACAGGAGAAACTGTCCCTTGTAAAAGGCGAAGGTTTGTTTTCCTACATTACGCGCTAACTGCCAGTAGAACTAATACGAAGCGTTACCATTGCTAGTCGAACACTGGTACTGCATAATTGCTTGTTGGATAGATGATGGACACAGGGCCTTCCGTGGAATGCTGCGAGTCAGAGACACCTGGCGTTTAAGAGAGGGAGGTCGCCCTTCGACATAAAGATAAGGGGTTTTAATTTTTTCTTTACTAAATTCGGTTTTAGTGGGAATTTAATAAGGCCTGCATTGGTTTTATGATGCCGTGGTTTAAAAAAAATAGTTACCAACACAAGTGGCTACAAATCTCCATCCGCTAAAATCTTGCTATAGTTTAGCGATTACTCTTCTCAACAGTGGTCGAGTACATTTACTTGCATAGGCAGCTACAGACGTTTTGGAGGAATGTATCGCATACATCTTCTACCCTGAAGATAGAAGCTAGAGATTTATTCGAAACGTTGGTAGCCATTGACAGGACTACGATGGCGTTATTCCAGAAGACAACAATCCAAGTTTTCACGGCCGTGAAAACCAAAAATCTCGTTTCGAGGTCCATCCCTGCCCTCGTCCTCAGGGTACTGAACAACTCGAAACGTTGGTATTTTCATGTTTTAACCAATTGACGCGGCTGATATTGTAGTATATATTAATGTTTTAGAACAACCTACGAGAGATGAAGTAACAGGATGAAGAACATTACAGAATCATATCTATATTTTTCAGGTAGAAATACCCACAAAATCTTAGTCGGAAAACCCGAAGGGAAGGGTATGTATTTGGGGGGCCTCTGAGTAAATGGAATGATATAATAGTACGAATTGTACTTTATAATATTTATTGTATTATTATTATTATTTTATTATTACTTTTTCCACATCCTATCGTCATCTGACTGTCTTATGGATCCATGGAATGTAAATAAATTATTATTATTATTATTATAATATTAATGTTCACCTTAAAATTTAAAAAAAGTGTTGTGTGAGGACGTGTACTGCACCTAACTAGCTCAATATTGGACCCAGAGGCGGAGTTTTGCTAACACGGCTGTGAACATTTGCAAAGAACCAAATGATGGTGATGATAAGAGAACCAGAAACTTAATTTTTTATAGGCGTGCTTATCGCCCTTTCTTTGTTCTGTAGTGTTCGTTACCTTATTCAGCATCTATCTCGAAGTAATACAGCCTGTAGGGTTTTGATATCTATAGAGTTGATGTAGTTGGTTGATGATACGGGTAATCGACAGTAATGATATTAGTGCATTGCTGTAATCTTTGTTTGGTTAGAGATGCGTCATATTAAAGAATGTTTTAAAATTAAAGATATCTAATCTGCTGCATCATTTATCTATCTTGAAGAAGCAGTAGGGGGCGTGTGAGGGAAGTATGATACGCCTTGCGCATGTTGTGCACGCAATATGGGCCTAACCAAAATCACAACTATTGAGTGCAGATACCAAGCAATGCACGTATGAAAGATGTGTTTGTCAAATTAGTGTTTTTATATCTCTAGTTTATTTATCTCCTCTCCCCCAACCTCAGTTCTTCCTAGGGATTGCTTGTCTTGACATTTTGTATAAAACTTCTTCATAGGCCGTCAGCTGGCATCGGTATGAACGAACAGACATACTACTTTATCTTTATGCATTTATAGACTGAAAAGACGCATACAAATCCAGCAGACTTAAATGGTATATTTAACTTCTTCTGAACGGTAGCTTGCAGTGTCTGCATTTATTACAAGTTATCCTGTAATAGTACAAAGCGAAATATGAATTCTTTCCTTGAATAAATAATACAGAAGTGTTTTGGCATGAGCAGATGTTGAGTAAAATTCCTGGAGCAGAACGTGGCCGAAAGTAAAATGTACTCTTGTTATTCGGTTAATATAGGTCACGTAAACCCGTCTCTCGCCCCCCGCCCCCGCCCCCACTCTTACTTCTGACCTCATCCCCTCTTTCTGTCATTATTTAACCCAGATCCAGGCACACCATCTATCTAGAGTTGAGTAAATTCTTGCATGATTTTTTTTATTTTGCCGTTGTAATAAAACAGGATGCACGTATTTATGCTGATGCAGTTTTTAAATCGGACTGAATTCTTCAACATGTTACCATTACCGTTATTTCGTTCGATTCTTCACTTCATTAAAAGACAGGCTTCTTAAATGTACTAGTATAAAAAAGCTCAGTTATTATCGCGCGTCAGGACTTCCCCATTGTTCGGAGGTCACGTTAAAACTCTAGGTTCCGTGCGCCGACCATCATCCTCAGGGTCACTCTACCACTGGGAGTAATGGGATCCGTCCTCGGGTGCTCTCGCCTCAGGAATGGATTCCAGTTTTCTTGAGGTCGCCATAGGTGAGGCAGGAAAGGTCATAACATCTCCGCCTCAGGCGGCATTAGAAACCCGCCTAACATCTTCGCACATGCCTGCTACTTTTTGTGAAATCCAATGGTGGACTATCTTGTCTGAAGTTTAAGTGGTTTTGTAAGATTTGAGGTTTTTATGGCGGTGAGTCTGAAGATTGCTGTCTTCTGGGTTATTGCGTCGCTCCACCCCCGTCTTTGTTTTGTTGTGTAATATGTAGTCTAACACAAATAGATTGTGAGGATGTAAAGTGGATTTAACTGGCTCAAGATGGTAGTGGAATTTGTAGTAAGAGTGTTTATTTTAACATTTAACGTTCGTTATTAAATTTGTGACTGTACTCGGGTCAGGGAATGAATGATGACGGTTGATGGGCGTTTCAAACTGGTCGCCTGCTCCCTCGTCCTTCCTGCACCATAGATAGGTTATCTATCTATGCTACCCAAACTCCACTGCAGAACTCAAATTCAGCAGTAAACAGATGAAGTCTCATTGTAGGGACCATGTTGATAACATGTGGTAGGTCCTCAGCATGTCATCGCCATTGATTTCAGTACATTCAGGTTAGCAGGCCACATTGTTTCGTTTCCACATTGGCACATCATTATTTATTGTTTTTGTTTATAATTATTGAATAAAATCTAGAAAATAACGTACAGTAAAGATGCACTGCTACAGAAATTTCAAAGAGTGTTTCGTTTAAAGAATCCAGTTTCCTCGTAATATATGAAATTGAAGGTGTAGTTATAGCCAGATCGTGGTTTCAAATTTGAACAATTTGTGTGATAATGTGAATTAATTTGTAATTAGCAAGGTTTGTAACTGTTAATTCAGTATAAGTTTAATTTTAATTTTTGATTGTAAAATATTGAACACAGAACATATCCAGGTACTGATATGGTTAATTTTATAAAACACTAAAATAATTAGAATATGCATTTAGTTTTGTTCCCAGTTCTTCTGAGTATAGGAAGTAGCTAAAAGGAAAAGGCTTTCATACTATTACTCACCAAGTCAGAAAAGATTACGATATTCTTAGAAACTTGAATGGTATGACAGTGATATAATGATCTCATGAGCATGCCACTGATAATGATAATGATGGTGATAAAGAGAATGGTAGTGATGACTGTGTGTTTCCTGTCATATATCAGGAAAAGGAAGTTACTGCAGGTCCAGGATTATATAGTGTTTCCATTATTGTTACAGACTGTGTGGGTAGCTAGGATTGGACAATGACTTCCTAGCAAACTTTTCCATTAGTTTCTAAAAAACTAACAGAATGCGCAAGTCCCATGAAACAGACAGCCACTCAACGTGTTCAACTGCTAATCAGCGAAAACGGGGATTAGCACGTTTCTCATTGCGACGTCTCCTCTACTCCAGTCCTCTTGTAGCCAGGCGAATTACTAGAGGATCTTCTAGCACCTCCAAGAATTCAAGAAATGCAGGTTTGTACATAAGTTTATGATACACTAATTGTAACTTTACCAGAGACACTACAAGAAATTTTTCTAGTGACTAGCTGCTAAAGTGTCTTGCCACATACATGCAGGACTCAATGTTTGTTGGTCCCCACCAACCACAATAACAGACTTTTAACCTAATCCGCATTGCTACAGGTGATGTATCTAACCCAGTGATTCCCTTAGAATTTACAAGGGACATTACTGCCTCTATTTCTACTCTGTATAAGATGACACCTGTTAGAGTGACTGTTGATGGAACTCAGGAGTCGGCGTGGCGAAACCTTAGCTTGTTCTGTGTCAGCTATTGTATTAGCAGGCTACAGTCAACCAACCTAGGAAGTGATATTTAAGATTATGTTCAGAATGATGCCAGTACACTATTACTTTATTACACTCTTTGTGTCAAAGATAAATGTTAATCAAAATCATTTGTCATTTGTCACAATACATGGAGTTACAGATGTCAACAGATAACCTGTACACAGAACTTTCATTCACTGGAAATTTAATTAAACCTTTGAAACCAACTGGGATACTGGGAACGACCCGTTCTTCAAGTGCCTGAGCACTGCGGGTCCCAACTTTTCGTTGGCTTGATCTATGGACATTCGGTAGGACTCCGTGGATGAGGGATCGGCCCGTCGCAAGGCCTCTACCTGTACACAGGACAGCACAACACAGAAAAACGCGGACAGACATCCATGGCTTGAGTGGGATTCGAACCCACGATCCCAGCGACCAAGCGGCACAAGGCCCACGCCTCAGACCGCGCGGCCACTGCGGACCCCTTAACATTGTTCCTTGGGGTTTAATATAATATTGTTAAATGAACATAAATATCCATTTTTAGTAGTTACTGTTACTTATTTTGTTGTACTTATTTGTTAGACTTTCAGATTCAAAATTAAAGACTGTTCAAATGTTCCTGTTTAAAAATTCAGAATTTATCTTTATGATTTGAAGGAGATGGCCGTGCAAGTGAGCCATCTAGAGACATGGAGAGAGGAGGAGCTGTTCGACTCAGCAGTGTCGTTGCTGGGGGAGCTCCACTTAACGATGATCTGCAACAAGCTTCCAGCAAACCGTATGGCTTTGGAATGAGTGCAGGAAAGGTAACTGCTTTAATATTAACTTCTTTTCATAATATGAAATGAATCCTTATAATACCACTGTTGATAGACTGATTCTTTGCACCCAGCTTGTTCACTGTCTCGAGACTGATAACAGGAAACTATTCTCATGTAGTAGAAGTGAAACCCAGAACTATTTGTGGTAGGGTACATGATTCACTCTGAAAGAATTTATTTTTGAAAAATTCAGTTGCATATTTTGATAATGTAGTTCTTGAAGGCACTGAAAGGGTTTATTTCTAAATTGTTATCATATGCAAACTTGAGAGAATTTTCTTCTTCTTAAGCATTGTAGATATATTTTCCAGACAGAAATAGTGACTACATTTGTATTCTGTTTTAAAAAAAATCAATTTAGTAACGCAGATCAGACAAACTGTCATGCAGCATTAGTGAGGAGAAATAATTATACTAATGGTAAAAAATAGGCTTTATGTTAAGAGGACTGTGGGTATTGAAATGTAAGACAAAGGTTATTTCAATTGTGTTTTTAATCTCTCTCCCTTTTTCCCTCCTCCTCCTTCTTCTTCTTCTTCCCCTTGCACAGATAATTAACAGACGAGATTATATGCATGTACATGTATAGCATATAGGTTATCAGTTTAAACTTTCAGAACTGAGTGTCATTGTAATTTTTTTATATAAAGTTAAAATGTAACCATTATGAATTTTTACACATTCCAGAGTCACATTAAATAATGTAACAGAATATCTTTGCTTGTAATGGTCTCATATTTTAAAACATTACTTACTGTACAACAACAAAATATTTTTCAATTGTTTATCTTTCCTCAGAGTTGTGAACTGGGTATTGCCGAATGCCCACTGTGTCTTGCAGAGCTACCTGTGGAATACTTCCCAAGACTGTCTAGTTGTAGCCATCGCTCTTGCTATGATTGTTTCCAGCAGTACCTTCGGATTGAGATATCAGAATCTCGAGTAAGCATCGCCTGCCCAGAATGTTCCGAGCCAATGCATCCAAATGGTAAGTATGCTATATGGTGATACTGTCTGTTTTCCTTTGTATGTTAATATCTGATATCTTGTTAATCCTTTTAGTGTTTTTGTATTCAGACACCAGTGTGCTGAATTATTTTTCACTAAAGACGTGTGCATCACAGATTGTTGGTATGGAAAAGATTAGGGTTAGTTTATTGTCATCAGCTGAAACATTGAAGGCGCAGGGCCCTTGATGTTATGTTTTGCACAGTATAGTATGAATGTATTGTATAAATCAGATTACATTCTTGTTCTGAAGTGTTTTGTTCCTTTCAGATATTCGGATGATTTTGAATGACAAACTACAGTATGAAAAATATGAAGATTTTATGGTGCGTCGAGTGTTGGCTGTGGACCCAGATACGCGCTGGTGCCCAGCTCCAGACTGCAGGTATAGCTCTCTCACACATAGTATTTTGTTGAAATACTTAGAGACATGAGAAAAAATGGAGTGCTTTAGTTTGTGATATTTTGAAGTTGAGAAGAATGCAGTTGAATTGGCTGTGAAACTTCTGGATTTGAAGTTATTTGCCCTAACTTAAATAACACACTATAAGGCCTGGTAACCGTATTTAAATTACTATACAGATAAAAGTATCTGAAGGATGCTGGTGAATTGGAATAATGTGATAGCTGTTTTAACTGTGCCCATAAATCTGGCATTGCATTTTGTGCAAAAGTTTAAAAATAAATTATCATGTGCTATTGTATTTAATGTAGTAGAATATAATAGCTGTAATAAAGGCAAGAAGGATAGAATGGCTTGGACATATACTCCGAATACGTGATGATAGAGGATGTAAGATGATCATCAATAGTAAACCTCCTGGCAAATTAAAGAAAGGAAGACCGAAACTCTGGTGGATTGAAGACATGGAGTCTGATCTTAAACAGATGGGCGTAAGAGGCTGGAGAAGAAAGGCACAGAATAGGGAAGACTGTGCATCGATCGCAAGAGAAGCCAAGGCTACAATGAAAGGGCCGTAATGCTAAAGAAGAAGAAGAATATAATAGATCTGAATGATCACTGCCATGACTGGCAAATTTCAATGTGATTTTTTAAATGTCTGTAGTTAAGTGTTAGGTTAAAAGCATAAGGAAGAGCATGTTTTACTTATGAATTAATTTACATTAGCATAACATATATTAGGAGGAGGAGGAAGAAGATGATAGCCTATGTAGCTGTTTCAGTCTTTCCATCAGTGTGGTACATATTACCATGCTTTGCTCTGTGTTTCATTATAAGATTGTGTTTTATCTGACTTGAAAGCTAATCTTTGTGATTGAATGCTTTGTGTTGAACAGTTTTGCTGTGATAGCAGCTGGGTGTGCCAGTTGCCCAAAAATCAAGTGTGAACGACCCGGTTGTGATGCCTATTTCTGCTATCACTGCAAAGCAGAGTGGCATCCAAACCAGACTTGTGATGCAGCAAGGGCTCAGCGATCTCCTAATGTGCGCTCATCTTCTGTCAGTTTTAGTCAGGACTCTCAGCATCGTAAGTCTTGTTCTGGGTGAATACCTTCGGATCTGCTCGCGTGCACGCTTGTGCATACATTCACCTTCACACATATACATAGACATGAAGTTAGACTTGTATTTTATATAGCATTTAGCTTGTTCAAAATCCACTATCAGTTTGCTGGGCATGATACAGCTTCATTATAGCCCTGTTTGCTTATTTTTAGTATATTTAGAAAACCTTCGCTCCCTTGGAGGTGCCATAAACTAGATGCTGCTTTGTGCATTACATAGCTTCATGGTAGCCCTGTCAGTTGTTTATTTTTTGGGCTTTTACCAGACTTTCTTAGTTTCTTTGAAGGTACCATAAACTTGGTCCATGGTAGTGGGTTAGAACTAACAAGAATGAATGAGAAAAGAATTCCAAGAATGTTCTGAACATGAAAGTATGGTGGTGAAGGGAAAGTGACCAAGAGGTAGACCACTATCAAGATGGAACAAGTTATGAAAGATGACATACGCAGGGAAGGCCGACCATAGGAAAAAATTGAAGATAAGTTGTGGGAAGACAAGAGATAGCTGGAGAGGCCTAGTTATCAGATGATCTACCTAAAGTAGAAGCTTCTTAGGAAGAAACAAGAGTTTAAATAATGTATTACAGGAGAAATTCTATATTGAACAGCCTAAAGCATTGGGGATGGAACGTGGGGTATTTCATTGTCTCAGCCATGTCATTGAGATCCTTAGTTTACGAAATATCAATATGGTTAAATTAAGGGCAGAAAGTCATAGGCATTAAATCCCACCCAAAAATACCCAGATTAAGAAGTTATGATAATTGTTTCAGGTCAAAATATTTATCCAATAGATTATAATAATAAAATCATGACACAGTGATGAAATCACTGACTCTTGGAAAATGTCAGGCTGTTGGACACAAATCTCACTTTTAAGCCTGTGAAAGTCTAGTTCCGTATGGAATTCAGTAATTCTATTGAGCATATGCGTTATGCCTCCATGAATCCATAAATGCAAGCAATGATTCCCACTAAGTACCTGCATACGTAATAACAAATGTTCAGCTCGTTATTGTACAATTAGTGCTTTCTTTGAATCTCAAAGTTTTGTGACAACAGTTGATTCTTTATAGGAACTCTGTGTTGGACATTGTCCATTGTCTGAGGTTTACTTTAAAAACATTATGTTTCAGTTTCTGGTTGTTGGTTGTCATTATACTGATATTCTTTGATATTAGTCATGATAAAACCCTTGACCTTTCTAATGTGCTACGTTTTCTCAAAGGTGATGATATTAAACCATGCCCACGATGCCAAGTACTCATAGTGAAGATGGATGATGGTTCCTGCAATCACATGACCTGTGCTGTGTGTGGAGCAGAGTTCTGTTGGCTGTGTATGAAGGAAATTAGTGATTTGCATTACCTAAGGTAATTTGCCAAAGGCATAAAATTGTCAGTTACATGTCAGTATGTTAAATTATTAGTGGACCACATCTTTAAATTCACTTGTGATGAAGATTTCTGTCTTCTGGGTTGTTGCGCTATGTAGTCTGGTCAATGTTTACCAACGTTTCAGAGGTCATACTGCCTCCATCATCAGGGCCTGATGACGGAGGCAGTATGACCTCTGAAACGTTGGTTAGCATCGACCAGACTACACAGCGCAACAACCCAGAAGACAGAAATCTTCATACTCATCGCTGTGAAAACCTTAAATTTCACTTGTGATGCTTACATCCAAATTTGTAACTAAAATTAAATTCCATCTTGTAGATCCCAGTGTGTCAGATTAAATTTTTGTATTATTTGTTCTGAAACTGTTTAGCAAATTGTCACTGTGAGATTTTACTAAATCTGTTGCAGTAGAGTTGCTTCATTTGTAGTGGGTGGGGGGGGGGCAATCATATTGATTCCAATTCTTATAATGCATAGGTCTATTGTAATAAATTTAGTTGTCATTACACAACTTTTAAATGTCCTTTATTCCTCTCTTTGCAGTCCATCCGGCTGCACATTTTGGGGCAAGAAGCCGTGGTCACGTAAAAAGAAAATTTTGTGGCAGCTAGGCACATTGGTTGGTGCTCCTGTTGGAATCGGCCTAGTCGCAGGCATCGCAGTACCAGCCATGATTATTGGTATGCATATTGTATTAATGTAAAACATTTAAAAGTGTCATCATTTGAATTGTTAATGACACTGAACATACCAAATAACTAAGTAACTAAATATGTGGAGCAGAATCCTTGAGAAGCCAATAGTATGCTCGGCTAGTCAGGAGGCTGCCACCATTCCCTATCCTACACTAAGTTAATCCAACCCACACCCTAAAACTTTATTTTCCTATGATCTATTTCAATTCTATCTGCCCCTTTATGCTTAGGTATTCCAGCTCATCTCATCCCTTCAGGCTTTAGAACCAATTTTTTAAAATATTTATCATCTATCCTGTTTGCGCTACATGCTCTGCCCATGTCATTATCCTTGATTTCATCAGACAGTGGACAAAATTATTATATTTATAATTACAACAGTCCACATAGCAGGCATTTTATGTCCACCATTCTGTATGTCCAAGAATTCAGGGCGATAAGTAAGTCGTGCGGCTTATTTATCGCCTTGATGACGGAGGCAGCAAGGACCTCTGAAACGTCGGTAAACTTGTACCACACTACACGGTGCAACAACCCAGAAGACTGATGTCTTCAGACTCAACGCTGTGAAAACCTCAAATCCTACAGGGTAACATTTGTTCTGTCCTTGTCCTTCAGAACACAGGTATGAATCAAATAAACGTATGTTTATTTCGCTTTTATTTGGGAACAACAATAACAAATCAAAATGATACTCATGAGGAAGTTAGGATGAGACTAAATTCTGGAAATGCTTGCTACTTCTCTGTTCAAAATATTTTGTCTTCCCGTCTGATTTCTAAGGACCTGAAAATTAAAGTATACAAAACAAAAATTTTGCCTGTTGTTTTATATGGGTGCGAAACATGGTCTCTCACTCAGAGGGAGGGACACAGATTGCAGGTGTTTGAGAATAGGGCGTTGAGGAGGATATTTGAGCCTAGGAGAGAAGACGATGGGGCATGGAGAAAACTGCATAATGATGAGCTTAAAAATCTGTACTACTCCCCCAATATTGTCAGGGTGATTAAGTCGAGAGGAATGAGATGGGCAGGGCATGTAACATGCATGGATGGGACAAGAGTTGTGCACCGGGTATTGGTTGGGAAGCCTGAGGGGAAGAGACCACTGGGGAGACCTAGATGTAGATGGGAGGATAATGTTATGTGGGATCTATGGGAGATAGGAGTTGAAGGAGACTGGATTTTGTTTGCTCAGGAGGGCTTTGGTTAATTCGGTGATGAACCTTCGGGTTTGGTAAGCCATCTAGTTGGTGGGTTAGTTATATCCCTTTACTGGGCATTATTCACGAGAAAGTCTTGCTGTTGTGATTGAGCAACTTTTCCAGGCTTCATTACTTATAAGTTTCATTTATTAAATTTCAGGTATTCCAGTGTGGGTGGGTAGGAAGCTGTATGCTCGCTATGAACATGCCAATAAACACAAACGGAACTTGGCGATTGCTGGCGGAGTAACTGCTTCGGTGAGTGCTGATGAATTTTAAACTTACAATACATGTGTTTGGCAAGATACTAAATGAGGAAATAATTATCGCTTTCCCCTAAATTTTTTGTTTAGATTACTTCTGTGTTTCAAAAATACTATTGTGTTAAATACAGGAAGATTAATAGCAGTTAACCGTGTGATATACTTTCTTGATATAAACATTATGAAATATTTTTCACTTATTATTATCTGACATTAGCCTTTCTGTGCATGTGTGTGTATGCATGCAAAACATATTCCACACTTGGCATACTCGTACTCGTACAAACACCGTTGGCTGATAATTTTAAGATCAGATTACCTGTTAGTAATACCTACTCATTAGGTGTTTATATTGATCCTGGAAATGCGAGTATCAGGTTGTCATGGTTCTAGGGGTCTCGTGTATTTCAGTGCTGAATGACAGATATTATTGTGACCCTCCTCACAGGTCATAATTGTATTTCTTTAACACAGCCTTCATGCCAATATCATAATTTTTAGAAGATTAAGTTTTTGTTTTATTTGATGCGGGTTGTTATTGCTTGACGTCATGCATTTGTGTCGATTTATTCTTCTTCTTTGTAGGACATTTTTTTATGAATTCTGATCATCTTCATTTACTATAAGTTATATTTATGAAATTCCAACCAACCAACCAAAAAGCTAACTAAGGGCGGAGTCCTGCGCAAGCGCAGGACATCGTCCCTTGCTAGGTAACACCATTCCTGCATACAAAACGCATTGCTGGAAATGGTAAACAGAGCCTTAAAATGGAAACAGGAATTTTGCTAACGCTAACGGGGTTCTGTCATGGCGGGAGCCTTGACCATTCAAATTAGGGTCTGTTGCTGCTGATGGGAGGTTATCTTGTCAAGCAAATTGTCCAAAGAATTTTAGTTGTTTGGTTCTCTGAGGTTTGAACCCAGAGAGGGAGGAGCCGTTTCGACTGAAGGTCTCTGCGGCTTGGGGGGAGGAGAACACTTCAGCTGAGGGCCTCCGTGATCGGGGGTGACAGGCTGTGCCCCTATTAAGTTATACCCTGGCATTCGCCTTACAACTGAGGAAAAGCACGGAAAACCTCAGTCAGAGTAGCCGAGTGGACTTGGCCAACAACATAGGTCTGAGGGTCTTTAAACATTTAAAGCCTGGTGGTAATTTTATATGCCACATACTTTAACAGCAGGAGCCGGCGTAGCTGAGTCAGTATAGTGACTGGCTACCGACTGGGCGACCAGGGTTTGATCCTCGATGGGGGCAGAGGATTTTTCCTAGCCTCTGCGTCCAGACCGGCTCTGGGGCCCACCCAGCCTCCTATCCAATGGGGTCCTTTCCCGGGGGTAAAGCGCGGCTGGGGCGTGATGCTGACCACTCACCTCCATCTAGTGCCGAGGTCAAGAATAAGTAGGAGCTATACCTCCACTCCCCCCAAGCGCCTACATGGCGTATAGTGGGACAGCTTTACTTTTACATACTTTAACAGCACTTTGCCCACATATTTTATTTATGGTTCTCGTATGATTCTAGGTGATCATTTCTGTAAGAAGCATTAACCCATCGATGTTTAGTGAAGAAGTGTTACGTTTTCTTTGATGTAGGAACTGAAATTTTAAGCCTGGTGACAGTGGTGAGTATGAAGATGGCTGTTGCAGGTTGAGTCATTATGTCATTTTTAGTATATTCATTCCTTTTTCAAACTGCGGTTGTACTGTGTCTCATCTGCATTTTCAAAAGTTAGTACTAAACAATCATCGAATGCTGTGTGTGTTCTGTAGAGTTTACCTTTTTGCGCGTGTTCTTTCGTTGTACTTAATTAGTAATTCTTGTCAGGATTCACGTTGCTAAATGATTCACAAATGACAGCAGACGATTTTGATGCAAAGGAAGGTTTGAGGATGAATACACGTTCTGCTTATGAACAGACCATATTTGTACCCACTCTGTTTATCTGAAACTGGCTTGAGAAGCGGCCTAGCAACCACAGGGTGGGAGAGTCTATAACCTGCCTCTGATTTCATATTTTAACCGTAGTACGTGACTGTTTTGAATGGTAAACCCTGTTTCAAAACTGGAGGAGATAGACATTATCACAGCTTTGCTCAACGAATTTATTTTAAGACAAGCTCGTTTTGCCATACTGTATGATATATTAGTTGACAGCGTTGTTTCCTGGGATCATAGACACAGATCTTCAGAATTTGAGTATTGTTTTCATCGTTCTTTGCGATGTCTCTTTGTCAGATTTAGTCCGTTCTGTGGTTTGTTTTTAAATCTTATGCAGGCAGTCAATTTGAGGATTGTAACTGAGTGCACATTTTGTTGAAATGGTTGTGGTAGCTCTCAAGAAACTGTCATAGTGCTTGTCTTAAGAAAGTTAGTTAGTTAATTCCTTTTATTCCTCTTGGGAACATAGGTTTGATATAAAGCTCCTTCACCTCACTCGGTTGTTGGCGAATGTCTTTATTTCCTTCCAACTTTTCCCCTGTGATCTTGCTTACTTTTCAATAGATCTCCGCCATGTAATCCTCGGTCTTCCTCTTTTCTGTGCTCCTTGGGGGTTCCAGTCCAACACTTGCTTTGAAATGCTCTCAACCTCTTTCCTAAGCATGTTGTCTTAAGAAAAATGACCAGTAATAAACACTTGTCATCGATGTAGTGCAGGATTTTAGAGTTTCAAAGGTTTAGGTCTCTGCAATCTGAGGAGACGTTTGTCAAAGGCAGGACCGAGAACTAATGCCCGTCATGCTGTGGCTATGTACTTCATTTCCTGGACACTTGTTAGGGAGAAGAAGTGTTGAATGGGTACCACAGTCTCTAGATTTGAGTTCGCTGGACTACTGCTTCTGGTGTTTTGTCCGAGCATGAATGTGTCCATAGGAGATAAATGGGCTATTGTATTGTAATGAACATATCAAAATGTGTTAAAATCAATGTCCACCTTTTTAACGTCTATAACTATTGATACATAACACATGGTACAGGGAATAGTTGATACATAAAATATATATATATATACCGGTATGCTTCTGTTTATTCCACCAAGAATTTCATGTGCTTTGGAGTTTGTCACTGTCAGAGATTTGCTGGACTGGCTTATTGAACGAAATCCATATTTGTTTTAAAAAATTCTGGAGTGTCTGCAATAGGTTAGATGGATTAGAGAAATAGGTATGTAATTTTCATTTAGTTTAGTCACGTGTAATCTTTGCTTAGCTAACTGAAATTCAACCCCAAACTTGCAGATGTACGTAGTAAGTATATGTGGGTGTATGAGTGAACCGAAAATTGTGCTGTTCACAAGTCATCAGTTTACAATTAATTCATGACACGTACGTTTTTCGAAGTTTTTTCAAGGTTGTTGGGGTAGGACCGTCGAACTTTCCACCCGTACCCCATTACTGTACGAGAAGGTGATCGCATGTAGTGGATCAATACAGCAGAGCTAGGCTGCCGGCGAGGAGTGAGAACGAGAAAGTAGTTGAATCACGAGCAGAGTTCGTGTTAACCATTTTAGCCCGGCTAACACTTTGTAAAACGAAAAATAAAATGTCTCGTCTTACTTTCGTGGTTCAGTGTTACTGATTACGCTCGCCGCGAGCGTAAGCCTCAACTAGCCGGCTAACAATGGGGTATAAGGTATTAGGCAAACAGCAGATATGGGGTTGGACTGGGGTAGGAATTACTGTAATCGTGGCACATGATTAAGGATCGAGGTTAGAGGCGACACCAGTATCTTTCTTCTAGTTGAGTAGCGATTGTTTATATGCCAGCTGACAGGCGTGTTTGTAACAGCAGTAATGAGATTTTTGATTGTCTGGTCTTGTAGGTGGTTACCTACGTTTCGGAGGAACGTGTCGCCTCCATATTCATGGTTTCTCCGCCATGAGAACCTCATTCCAATCTACATATGTTGGACGGTGGGAATTAGGAGATTTTATTTCGAGTATAATTTTTGCCGTTGTAAATTATGCTTGAATCGGGAACGAGCTTAATCTTTGTTTGATGACGATTGATTAACAACGACCTTCGTGTTGGTGTAGCCGGGCGTGAGAGCTTGTGAACGTTGCGCCCCACTGGTCTCGTATTGTTCGTCTTGGTGATACGTATTGTTGGGTTTTATAAAAAATGACACTGAAAGTAACTTTGTACAGAACATTTTGGTGCCGGAAATGACGCGCCTTAATTAGCTGTTATATGAGTGATTTCGTGCTCTTTGGAGGTTACTGCGTCCCATTGTTCGCGTTTGTGTAGCGGATGAACAACTTCGGCCCGCTGGTCTCGACTTTGATGCATCTCAAACTTGTTTCTATGCGTTCTGAATCCTTTGTTGTCCAGTAATGGGACGTATCGTTTTGTCACGCAACAATACGTTACAACAATGTAACCTCCAGTTGGGAGACCTAGGCGTACATGGGAGGACAATATTAAAATAATTGTGCTCAAGATGGGGGTGTCCAGTGGGCTGACAATTTTAAACACGGCAATGAACGTTTGTGTTTCATTAAAGACGCGTCTGAAGAAGGGCTTTGCTCCTTGGAGTTAGCTTTGAAGTTACTGGCTGCTATTATGGGTGAACGGTAATGTATTGGAAGACGCATCCTTCCTATCAATGAACTGTATCATAACTTTCAGGAACGTATTGCGTGCCATCGAAGGAACTAGCCCTTTCACCCCTTCACCCATGATTCACGGGACTTTAAAATGCTGCACTGTATTGAAGCAGAACATATTTGTGTACTGGCATAAAATGATATTAGAGGGACAATCGTGTGGAATGGATTCCAAATAGCCAATGGATTTTCCAGTAATAAACTTACATGTTATTTAGGCTTTTTTAAAACTTTTGTTTTATTTTCGTGACTTGTAAAGTAATCACGTGAGAAAGACATGTTGCTCTAACGGCCTGCTGAAAGGCTTTTGTTATAGATACGCGGAATAAGTTTTCGATTCCCAGACTTCATTGATTCCGTGTTTTATATTAACCTACATACCAGTAGGAGTGAAATGTGAGCTCTCTGGCCCGCTAGTACTCTTTTTCTCAAAGCGTTCTTTGCGATTTTTCATATCTCATTACACTTCTTGATTATTTATTTCACATTCGGAACTATTGTAGAAGATACAAGCCTGTTATTTCAAAGCTAATCATATTAAATGGAATGAGAAATAATTTTACTTTAAGTTGAGAATTATAAATTAAAGCTGCATATAGCATCTCGATTTTTATTTCGAAAAAATAAATACATTACATGTATATCAATATGAGGTCATTGTTTTCTCTTTGTATTGTAATAATAGTCACTGGAAATTAATTTCCATTCTTAATGTTTACAGTATATATATTTACCTTGGCTTTGCTATTTTTGAACAGTAAGCAGATTTGTAGGTGTCAGGGGTAGGAACAGGATAAGGTAGTTCTTGTAGGTATTGTGTGTGTGTGTGTGGGGGGGGG